AAAATACCAACCACATATACGCCCTTCTAGGCTACGACCTTCCGGTCCAAAACATATAAGACATACATACATAATAGAACATAGAACAGCCACGCATATCGGGTCTACTGTGTGACTGGTCCGCCGTATCGGGCCTTCAGTCCACCGGATCCATCCTCCGAGTCTAGTCATGTCCTTCGAGTCTATAGTGTGGTTGGTCCGCCCGCACTGGGCCTACAACTCACCTGGTCCACTCTCTGCGTCTACAGTATGACTGGTCTGCCCGCACTGGGCCTTCAGTCGGCCTGGTCCACTCTCCGAGCCTCGGCGCGTCTGGTCCACCCGCGTGGGGCCTACAGCATATCCGAACCGCTTGCTGGGCCTTCGGAACAACCGGTCCGCCCTGAGTATCTTGGCCTACAGCACAAAGCAGGACTGCCTCAACCCATCTCCAGTCCAAGCAACCATGTACACATAAACATATAATCATATAACAGTTCACATTCAAACAAGCCGATCTAGCAGATCACATAACATAACATACTCTAAGCAGGATACCGACCTAACAGGTCATTAGCATAGCATCTCCCTATCTCTCAGGATACCGATCTCAATCAGGTCTCTAACATATACCGTCCTAACTCTCAGGATGCAAGCATATCACAACAAGAAAATAATAACAACTACCCGGATCTCAATCCGATAAGGGCCGGCCTTGGTGCCTTAGACCCTGTTGATATAGTGAGGATAACTCACCTCGAAACTGCCAGCTGAAAGGATAAGATCCCGCTGCTCCAACCCTGACACGAACTCCTCCACTGAACACCGAAACATTCAACTCAATAAATACCCTTAATTACCAAAATACCCCTGGAAGACAACTGGTCAACCTTGGACAAAGTCAAAGTCAACCCCTGACTGACCCTACTCGCCGAGTCAACCCGATGACTCGCCGAGTCCCTATGCTCAGAACTTCCCTCCATCAGCGACCCAACTCGCCGAGTCACCCCAAGACTCGCCGAGTTCAAAAAATCTAAGTCTACTCGCACCCAACTCACCGAGTCATCCCTTGACTCACCGATTCTCGACTCAACCAGGAAATATTGGGACTCTTCGACAAGACTCGTCGAGTCCAAGAACAGACTCGCCGAGTCTAAGGCTATCTTCAACCTACTCGCCGAGTTGTTCTTCCAACTCGCCGAGTTCCAGGCAATCTTCAAGCAACTCGTCGAGTCCACCCATGTGACTCGCCGAGTATCACCAGTCTGAATCAATTCAGAAGCACTCCAGGCCATGCAATTGATTCAAAACATAGATCTAGCCTCCTACAACCCATCCATCACGTAAAGTGGCAAACTTTACGTGAATCCATGAAGATCTAGGCATTATACACATTAGCTAAGGTTTGGGACATGATAGCTCCATTAACAACACAAGAACATGGGCTTTAATGCTCTTAAGATCTTCTCCACTCCAGATCTGAGGTAGCAACCTCAGATCCATCCTTCAAACTCAAGATGTCACACAACTAAGCTTCCCACACAACCCCAAAATGAGAATCTAAGAGAACACAACCCAAGAATGAAACATTACATCCAAAGAATGCCCCAACAGCAATGAAACTCGAATCCAAGCAAAGCCCTTTGATCCAAGCTTCTTCTCCTTCAAGATTTTCTTCAACCAACACCTCTCCAAGCTCCAATTTGCTCAACAATGGGGTTCCTCCATGAAATTAGGGTTTCTGGGACTCAAGGGGTATCAAGGAGGCTGTGGAGGAAACATAATGATCTTTATATAGGGCTCATTTCCTGGATTTAGGGTTTTCTTCGCCCGACACCTACTCGCCGAGTCCATCTTTGGACTCGCCGAGTAGGTCACTTGTCACGCGACCAAAGTCGCGACTCTACTCGCCGAGTCCATCCATGGACTTGCCGAGTCGCCCTTCAAGATTTACACTTTTAGCCCTTCAACACTACTCTTGCTATTCCGGGATGTTACATTTAAAATTCGTTGTAAGTGAGCTACGGTTATGCAATTTTTAATATAGCTTTCAAATAATTATAGTAATGTTATTAGGTCCTTAAAATAATTATTTGGGCTATTATTATGAGTTATATTGAGTGTTATTTAACACTTTTATAATAATAATAATAGCTAGACTATTAATTAGTCAAGGTTGACATTAGATGAAACCCTAGTGGAATTGATACTAGGTTTTATCGAAGGAAAATTGTTTTGAGAGTATCGAAGCGCTGTCCGAGTGTTGAGTTACCACCTACTCAAGTGAGTGCATAGTTACTTTAGTCTTACATATAGATATGAAGTATTTTACATAAATTACGTGCTATGTGTGCATATTATTTGAATACTTGTTGTCTATGTTGGATGAATGATTTTATACATGTTTTAAATGATTTAAACTGTATATTTATTTTACATCTACAAATATGTTGGGATAAAACATGGGTAGATGAAATAGTTGGTGTGTGATGAAATAAAATAATGAGAGATATGTGATGATAGGAAGGTGATGATAATTAGGTGAGGATAGATAGGTGATGATGAATCGGTGATGTAGGATACTACAACCTCGTCCGACAATTTGGAGATGTAGTCATCTACCAGAGTATATATGGCGACCACAGACTATTCTAGACAACCCCCGTGGAAACACTAGCAGTCTCATAACCTGTAGGTGATGAATTACGAGTTCAAGCGATGTTGTAAGTACGTATTCATGCGATGATACTCTAACCCTTACTATGAATTACGAGTTCAGGCAATGTTGTAACTACGTGTTCATGCGATGATAGCCTAACCCTTGTTGGGCATGTATTGAGGGACTAATCCCTGAATCAATACTGTCTATGTGATGTACGTGATGATCCTTAGGGAGAGTCCTTAGGAACAAACATATAAGGAAATGCGATGTAAGGAGATGAGAGGAAAATATGATGTAGGAGACGACCCTTAGGATAAATCCTTAGGGAAGGTACTTAGGAATAAATAAGATAATGGGGATGGGTAATTGGGTTAATTGTTTGTTGATTAAACATAATAATTATATTATTGTGGGTTGAAAACCCTATGTACTCACCAGGTTTCCCAACCTGACCCACTCAGTTTACTTGTATCACAGGTGACGATGTGAAGTTACATTACACTGAGAGATTAAGGAGATATAGATCACTAGTGTAAATGAATGTAAGTTCTGTTTACGCTTATGTTTATGTATTGACGATGACATCCCAAATGTTTTGAAATGAATAAAAATACATTTCTTCAGAAATGCTTTGATAATGAAATTATCATGTTTTTCTGGGAACAAATTCGGCAACGTTTTTATTAAAAGAGATACTCTGATTTTTTTTTAAAGCATCAACAATAATCGGTGTTTTTTGGCCTTGAAAATGGGGATGTCATATACACCCCTTTATGCGGCCGGAAACTCCCCTCTTTCAATCACATGTGATTCTAACACTTAGTTTCAAGTGTTTCCTTGTCCCTAAGGTGGTTTTGTTCCTCATATAATGGTGTTTTACCTTAATCTAATACATATATGTGCTATTATATGTTAAATAGGATTCAATTGTGTCCAAGGCTTCATTTGACTTTCAACATCCCTATCGACACGACACTCGAATCACACAAGCAAATAGTGAGTGCATACCCCTACGCTTTTAAGGTTTTTAAACGTTTTCAGGGAGGAAAGCAAGCCAAACACAAAAGGATTTTTGTGAACTGAAACATATATGTTTCCAATAAGTTTAAACTTATGCAATTGATACAATCCAACGTGTTTCATAAAACATACAGGCATTTATTCCCTTTCATAATATGCAGAGCATAAGGGACGTTTTCCAAACATAATTGTATAGTTTCCAGAATAGTACATGAACATAACATATCAGTCAAACTATAATAGGTATAGTTTGGGGAATTAATTACCAGTTTTACAGATTCAAACTACGTACAAGGTTGAACATATAAACTATGACAAATTTAGTTTATCCATTACTACATACAGATAACAAGAGTATCATACTAAATAATTATTTGACGTATAATTATTTATACTCTACACAGTATACAAATGATTTCAAACAGGAGAACAACAGAACAACACATAAACTAGTTAATACAACATTGTGAGACATCTCTTCATGGTACCCTTCGGGGTACTGGTAAATACTCTACATTTAGTATAACTAGAGTCTCCTGGAGGGAGAGCATGAGATTTGTGAATAGATCTATTTGGGACCGACAATCCCACACCTGAATTGTTAGCTACAGTTAGGCAGACATGCCTGGGTGACAACTTTCGTAACATACAACGCCTGAAGAAACGTTGCGGAGGTAATCAGTCATATTAGCATGGTTATATGAACTCACAATAGTATAAACTAACTTTTTTTTACGGGATTATCATTCTTCAATAGTTTTATTTTAATTAATAAGACTACCTACATACTACACTGGAGGGTATTCCAGGGATACAACATTTGGTTTTATTTTAAGTAATAAGACTACTTTACATACTGGTGGTATCTAGAGTTTTCGAACAAGAGCATACATACTGATGGTAGCCAGGGTTTTCAAAACGGATCATACTATTCAAACTGTAGTCAACAAACATGATAGAAAATATTGGATTTTCTGGAAAAGCAAACAAACATTTATACAAATTCAGTGACTAGTTTTCAATTCAAAAACATGCTTATGAACTCACTAACTTTATGCTGATATGTTTTCAAAACCGCTTGTATTCTTAGGACATTAGTAGACAGGTATACTAGTCGACTTTTGGAGAAGATGGATCATTTTGGAGTCTCGTCTTTATCTTTTGCTACTTTTGATGTATACGAACCTCATATCAAACAAATGTAAATATTCATATTAAAATGTAATGGTTGTGTTTACTTTGATTACTATGATGCAATTGTTGTGGTACTACATCTGACGTCCTCCACCCCCAGACGTTTCCGCCGTTTGTTTTTACGGTTTGGGATGTGACAAGCACCTCAAGCAGCTTTAAACCGAGCATTGATAAAACTCTCAGTTTCAATTGGTCCAAAAACTTTGACAACAGTAATCTTCTTTGAGCTCCAAGTTTGGTGTTGAGGCTTCATATGTTTGAGATAGAACGAGAAAAGCACTTGATCAATATCATGATCTGGAAGAGGAGCATCCGCAACTTTATCAAAGCTACAAAACTGAAAAGCCTTCGGAGTGATAGGTAGATCAAGCTACGAATCAAGAGAGTTTTCCAAATCAAACGATACCTAGGGCTCAAGCTAGTAAACATTTGGATTATCAATGGCTTCGTTCAAAATACGCTCCATAGACCATGAGGGATATGGAAGCTTTTGAGTTTCTAGAGTGACTTGGGCTTCACGGGCTTCCCTTTCTTGAGCTTCGGCTTCCTTGGTAATTCGCAAGTTCTCATCTATATCTACGTCACGAGACTTGCGTTTAAGTATTGCTCCTTCATCCTCTTCATCATCATCAATCAACTTGTTTTTACCTTTTTATCGTAAAACTTCATTACCCTTCGGACTTTTTGATTTCGGATTTTGATCATGCTCATCAGAGCCACCAACGGGTTTCTTGATATCTTCACTAGATGCTTTCTTCACTTCTCCCTTTGTTTCGGAAGAGAACCCGAGGCCGAAACACCTTCTATCCAATCAAGCATGGAGAATACCAGTCGAAGTTTGTCAGCCAAACGCTGTCTAACATAGACTTTGAGCATAGAATCAAAAGTCTTGATGAGAGTTTGCAAATACTGATTAACATCGGTAACAACACTTTTGACTGCAATGTTTTCAGATTTGAGCTCTTAGATCTCCTTGTTGGCATAAGAGAGGTGGGATCAAACAACTTTCACTTTTCCCTTTTTGAAAATAAGCTTATCTATAAGAGCATTCTTGGTAGCAAGATCTGCTTGAAGCTTTTCAATTTGGAAGTGATCGATGTTTTTAGCTCTGCATTATCATCCTGGATACTAGTGCGAATCTCAGAAAGAGCTGCTTTCTCAGTTTTGAGTGTTGTACCATGGTTTGTAATCACCTTGTTCGCAGCAGCTGTGTTTCGTTCCCAAGAAGTTCGGAAGTCTTCTATAAACTGTTTAACATTAGAAAGTAGTTTATCGACTTTTTCGGTCGTTTCACGAACAATCTTTTAAGATTTCTCAATGGCCTTTGTCGACGTAGCAAGATTCTTAGCATGCTCCTTAGTGAGAGTGTCAAATAAAGCTTTGTAAGACGCATGGGAGTATTCACTACTGGACAAATATTTGGAAGACTCAAGGAGAGTATCAAACTTATCATTGAGTGCTTTAAATTGGCCCTTCATCATCGGTGCATCTTCATCATCACTAGAAGCTTGGGCGTTGAATGGGCTATAGTGAAAGCTAAAGGACGAGGACTTGATGCAGGTCGTTTCCGATAGTTGTTGATGATGAAGTTTTCTGCTGGAGCATAGTTGAGCATTGCCTCAGGAAGCGAGCCGATAAATGCGAACTTCGTAGGATCTGCTACGATGAAGTTAGAAGTGTGACAATTGGAGATAGCTGCCATTGTAGAACCTCTATCACTGGAATGTTGTGGTGATTGATGGCCCTTTGAATGATGATGGACCATAATCGAGCACATGATAAATCTGAGTGCTGATACGTGGAAATTGTACTCTGAACTAGTTGATCCCAAAGGACAAATCCATTGTCCATATTAATTCTGTGATATAAACCATAGAGAATAGTGCAGAAGAGTTTGCTTGCACTGTCCGAACCTGTAACCCTCTCTGAAAAACTTTTGAAAATAAGAGTGAAAAACCCATTCCACATTAGCGGAAGATTGGGCTTCTTGAACTTTGACAAGATGGTTAAGTTGCCCACATAACCCATATGATAAAACATCTCAAGTATTGCAGAGGAGGAGATGGAATCTGGATCGACAAGGTCCCTTTCCTGAGAAAACCCTAGTAATCGACTGAACCTTGACTTGGAGATGGAGGTTTTCTAGGTACCAATTTCAAACGTGATAACAACCTATCCTTCTTGAAAGCTAGCAGTGGAGAAGAACTTGGATAGATGAACCAAGGGTATGTTTCCTGGGTTTGGCCGGCTACTATCGAAGGTTTATCATAGATTTCTCCAAGATTATCGTCCCTCTCACCAGATTGACCCGGAAGGGTGTTACTTTTTCCTGAGGGCCTGAGCAGCAGGCCTCATTTGAGACTCTTTGCCAGAGACTGTGCGAAGCTCTAGTGTTAGACATTCCTGAGGGAGTAGAGGACTCCGTAGTTTATTGTGATGCATCTATATTAGGGATGGGTGTGGTGTTGATGGAGAGGGGGCAAGTGATAGCATACACATCGAGGCAGTTAAAGCCTCATGAGATGAGGTATCCCAACCACAATTTGGAGCTGGGGACGGAGGTGTTCACCCTCAAGATCTGGCGCCACTACCTGTATGGAGTCTGGTGTACCACATACACAAACCATAAGAGCCTGAAGTACCTCATAGATTAGCCCAACCTGAATATGCGACATAGGAGGTGGTTGGATGTAGTGAAAGACTATGACTGTTAGATCTTGTATCATCCGAGAAAGGCTAATGTGGTAACCGATGCCTTGATCCGTAAAGCAGCAAGTGCTCCTATACAAGATGTGTGTATGCGGATGACGGTGATGAATCCAGTCTTAGATACCATTCGAGAGGCCCAAGTGGAGGCCATGAAACCAGATAACCATAAGAGAGAGTAGATAATCAGGAGGATTTCTGAGTTTGGGACGGATAGTTGGGGGTTTAGACTTTCCGTGGGTGGATTTGGGTGCCCTATACAGGTGGAGCTCGGTGCATACTGATGGAGGAGGCATATAGATCGAGATTCGCAATCGAATCGGGGGCCACTAAGATGTATTTGGATTTGAAGAGAGATTATTGGTGGCCTTGTATGAAGAGAGACATGGCTTGGGTAGTTAAGAGGTGCTTGACTTGTTGTTGGGTTAAGGCGAAGCACCAGCATCCACATGGTTCGTTACAGCCTCTATAGATTCTTCAGTGGAAGTAGGAACAAATTTCCATGGATTTTATTACCAAATTACCAAGAACCGCACGAGGTGTCGACGCGATATGGGTGATTATGGACTAGTTGACGAAGAGTGATCACTTCCTTACTATTAGTGAGAGCTCTTCTGCAGAGAAATTGGCTGAGATTTATGTGAGAGAGGTGGTGGCACGACATGGAGTGACGACATCGATAGTGTTAGATTGGGATGTGTGTTTTACTTCAAGGTTCCAGAAGAAGTTTCATTAGGAGTTGGATACCTGATTGCACTTCAGTACCACATACCACCCATAGATAGACGGGCAAAGTGAGCGGACAATACAGACACTTGAGGACATGCTGCGTGCATGTGTTATGGACTCCGGTGGAAGTTGGGACACCTATTTGCATTTGGCTGAGTTTTCTTACAACAACAACCACCATTCCAGTATTGGTAAGCCTCCCTTTGAGCTCTTATATAAGAGGAAGTGTCGGACTCCTATCTGTTGGGGAGAAGTAGGGTAGAGAGTGATGGGTGGCACTGAGATAGTACTCAAGATGATTGACCAGATTCAGTAGGTCAGATAGAGGTTACTGACGACAAAAAGTCGCCAAAAGAGTTACGCAGACCGACGATGATCCAAGCTAGAGTTCCAGGTTGGAGATTTTGTCCTCCTGATGGTATCCCCATGGAAAGGGGTGATTCGATTCAGGAAGCGGGGAAATTTGGGTCCTAGATATATCGATCCTTTCAAAGTAACTACCAGAGTCGGGAAAGTAGCTTATCGGTTAAGGAAGTGTGTAGCCGATGAGACGGCGGTGGTACCATTAGAGGACATTCAGGTAGATGCAAGCCTGAATTACATTGAGAGGCCGATAATGTAACGGCCATGTTTCTAGGCTAGGCATTAATGTTGATGTAATAGTTTAGGCAAACGTTTGTAACTCATTTTGAAATAATAAGAATGTATTATTTGAGTATTATGTGTTTTATGCTTAATTGTGTGGCTTAACTAAATTAAGAATAAAAATAAGCGTAAAAATAAAATGTTATATAAAACCAATATCGATACATGAAGACGTAGTGGTCGTGACGAGGGTTTCAAATATATAAAGAATGCCGAAATCCGAGTTATAACGAAGAAGTTATGACCTGTCGAAGTTTCGCGACAGAACCGGCACGACACTGTGCGGCGTAAATAGTGAGTTTATGATAGAGTGATATTTAGCCTTAGTGATCTAAAAGAAAGTCGTAGAGTTTGTTAAACCTGATGGGTTTTGAGCATTCTAACACTTCCTAAGTGTACATGCAACCCTAATAACCTTGGATCTATGTTTGTCTAATTTGTCATGCAAAGTTGAATTCCAAGGTTATATTCCTATCTAGCATACATGGGGAACAATTTAAACATAAAGTATAGATAGGATAACTTACCTTGTTGTTGCTTGTGTTCCTTGAAACCTTGTGAGCCTAGCACCTCAAGTGGTGATGCCTCAAATGCTTCACACAACACCAAATGCTCTTGGAAGAACTTATGAGAGAATACACACTCTTCAAAATCGGCCAAGCCCCCTTTTTTACTTAGTGTAACCGATTTGGGAGGAGATCATATTCCTTATATAGTGTTGACACATCTAGGGTTAAACCCTAATGTGTCATGACTCTTCATTTCCATGACCCATGGGTTTGTAACTCCCATGGAGCATCCATGGAGCATCCTATGGGTGGAACCCAACTTGATGATCCATGGAGCCTTTTAGCCCACTATACAAGATATGGATGATTTACTTAATCAACCCATATATTTAATTAGTTATCTTTTGATCACTTAATTAATTCTAAATTAATTCTTGATCAAACTAATCAAATAATATTATTAATATATTAGAACTTATAATATATTAATAATCTCCAAGCGTTATTTCTCTCATTTAGTTATCCAATTGCATGGTGCCATGCAACCCAAATGGACCATGCCGGGTCGGGTCAAGTACATACCAGAAATAGTTATGGACTTAGACACCTTATCCAACAGTCTCCCACTTGGATAAGTCTAGTAACTATTACTGCAAGTATGACTTTAGGAACCGATCGGCAATCGTAGCTCTTTACAAGGTTTCTCGAAACTTGAGAAGATGATGGTACGCCATTTAAGATAAGTGATCATATAATCCTCTGTTCTAGATATCAGTCGGACAAATACATGGAACAATGTCTTACTTATTGTCCAACATTTGTTTCCCGATTTCCGATTTGTTTGACAAAGAACTTTATTGAACACATCAATCTAGTTCTGACCGGGCCCGGTACATAGGTCAAAACAAAATCATCGAGGGGCCCAGATATCAGCTTCTAATCCAAGAAGGAACAGATAAACTTCGACTCATATGTTTGTTCTACTACTCATTGAATTACACATAAGAGCACGATTTTATAACATCGAGTTACCAATGCGTTTTTCGTACAATCAATGCATAACCAACTCGTAAGTAACAAATCATATCTCTAGGTTTAAAGACTTATATGATATTACCGTCT